TATATAAATATATATATATATATTTCTTCCCTTAACGTTTACTTCTAGCTTTATGGATCTGTGTTGTGTGTGTGTGTGTTGATTTTGCAATTGTTTCTTCGTTGCGTGTAGCAGTTGCTTTAATTTCAATCAACGGAAACAAAACCTTTTTCAAGACGACGATTCACACATTGCAATCATTTTTGGCGCTTCATATTGAAATCGAGAATCCTGCAAGTACACAATAAATAAGCGAGACACCATTAATACATATATAGATACACACATATGTATTTATATATATAAATAATACAACATGCAAATTAAATGGAAAAACATGAAATCCGATGTCAAAAGTACAAACAACAAATCGCTTACGAATTGCTAACAAATCGCGCCAGTGTCAGCACAATATTCACCGATGACAAGTTTTCGTTTGGATTTCGCAATTGTCAGCGATAAAGATACTATTTATTTGCACACCCTGCCTGCCTGCCGCCTCACCGCACCCCCCTCCCCCACTTCCAAAACACACTCCAAACAGTCGTCGAGTAGGCAGGAGGAGGAAGAGGAGGAGGTACAAGAACATAGAAATATAACGCTTCGGCCTGGCCTGGGTCAGCGTCGTGTGTTGTTTCATATATTTATGTTATGTATTGCTATCTTTCATTGTTGTTGTTGCAACAGCAGCTGCTATCGTCACATTAACAACAAATCTAGATTTAGTATACCTCATGGCATTGCCCCCTCGTTCCATAGGTTCCTAGAATTTCAAATGCGCTTATCAAAATCGCTTGCTTTGATTAGACGGACAACAAGCAACAGCTACATCTATTCAGGTATTTTTCTATTGTGTTGATTTTTGGATTAGTTGACGTATTTCATTTTGCCCGTATCTTATCAACAGCAATAGAACAGAAATGAATAACGTCGTTTTATCTGTGGCACGGTTCGAGCGCTCGTGATAAGAAAACACTCTGTTTGATCGAGGTTTCAAGTTGAGAACATATTTAATATACTTCTTCAAGGTCGCGTTAATTGCAGACAATATATGTTTCAGCATTTCAGTGTGAAAAAAAAAAAAAATATATATATATATATATATATATATAAATAAAATAAATAAAGTTAAAAACTCGAACATAGTGGCTTCAATGTTATCTTTAGTGAAAAAAAAAACAAAATTAAATCGAAAAAAAAGTCCCGCTGTTCTGGCATACAAGCAAACAAGTTTCTATTCTAAAAATTCTATAAGATGTTTACAATTTGTTGAACCCTTGCAGAAATTTATAAGAATTTATAAACAGTTTTTCTAAACTCAATCATTAACTAAAGAGAAGTTAATTGATTTTGTATTTGTTTTGCTTATCGGCATAATTCAAGTACTTCCATGTTTATTTAACCTAACTAAATACTTGAGGAAACTTTCGTGTCTAAGTTTTTTTTTTTTGGATATGACTAACCAAAAATAACGTGAATTTTTTGTATAAATCAGAAACACGTATCTGTAGTCGGTTACTGCATCATTCTTATACCAGAATTTATATTTCATCATAAATTTTATTTCATCAAAAATTTTAAACAAAAAAAATTAGTGCAATTAAGAATTGGCTGAGACGATTATGAGGCACACACACAATAACAAACAATATTTATTTACAAAAATAAAAATAAAAATTGATAAGCCATCAAGTGTAGATGCATGTATGTGTCAGAATAAACAGAACAGACAGTCGGCTGTCATAACCACATCACATCATAAAAACACATCATAGACTCGTAGACTTCGCAACTGAACAGCATACAGTAGTCGCACGATAAGTGCAACTTTGAAAACTAAATATTAGTTTTAGCTCACAATTGGTATTTCTTTTCGTTAAGAAATTAAAAATTATATGTTTAAGATTTGTATCTGGCCTTTGTTCACTGTACACTGTCCATACGACCACAATGATAACCATAATCATATTAATAGCCATGTCAGCAATAGAAATGAACAAAATAAAGTATAAACGAATTGCACAGATGCTCAGATAATGGCAACAAATGTCTAGCCGACAATTATGACATAAATATATATAAGTATATATTATATATGAATATGCAGTATTTGTAGCATTCATGCAGAGCTCTTGCCATGCTTTGTTTATTTTTAAAACAATTCAAGACATTTCTGATTGCTGCTTAAGATTGCGCATGCTTTTTTTCACTTTTGGGACTGATTACGTTGAAATATATTTATATATATATATATATTTGGTCGATCGCAATTTGTGTGGCAACAGTTGAGCCGCGAACAGTGAACAGTGAAAGGAAGCCGCAGACCGAGAGTCACAACAGATTTGAAAGCGCGCCAAAAACCAGTTCTGCAAGTGAACCAAAAAAACTAGTGGCAACAACTTCTGTGCTGCTGCTGCCGCCGCCGCCGATGCTGCTGGTGCCGCTGATACAGGATGCAGCAACGTGTTCCATGCGCCCACGCAGTTGAGAAAGTCGAATGAAAAATATAAAAAAAAAAAACCTGTTGATGTGTGTATGTATACACACTCACTCATATACACACACAGATGCACGCATTATCACACACACAACAGTAAATCATATACGATTATACATAAATCACAGATGAGTGTACAGTAATATCTAACAGATACATTTCACTGCTCAACTATTCATCTCCTTCTTCTTCATTTTGTTCTTGTTGTTGTTATAGTTATTGTCGCTACCTGAGCTGAGCAGTCGCAGCAGTCGCCGGCTGTCTAACAACAGCAAAAAGTCAAACTAAGAACACACGAGCACAAACTGCGATGGCGAATGACATTTTGTATCTCATTCCTTCTTTCTTTCTGTCTATCTTTTTTAGCCAAACCAAGCCAAGCCAGCAGTAAACCGGTTTATCAACCCGACAGACACACGATAACAACACCAACAACAAACAGCAAAAGTACAATATTAATGTGTGTATGTATTTCTTAATACCCTGGAACCATTGATAATAGACAAAAGCAAGGGGCGTATGTATGTCAAGTAATTAGCATTATTCAACACATACATATTTTGTCACAAATAAATTTGCCAGGGAAATTAATATTAATATTAAAATCAAGTAATCAAATATTCACGAAATCTAAGCATACAAAAATTGTATTTACAGTGTTCTACTGAGCTGAGTGCACAAAAATGATTTATGCCCGATGACACATTCAGCTCATTCTAATTTGTATCTATCGATATTGATTTGTTGCAATCGATTACTATTAAAACATAACAACTTTATTTATTACAGGGTGTTTTCTAGTTGAGTGCGCTGCACTAAAGCACTCTTGTTTTTCTCTTTCTTTTTGCCACAATTTTTCAGGCAGGAAAAACTCATGTTGGCTTAAATTGTTTGTTGGCTTAATGCCACAATAACGAAAACGAAGCAATGGCTCGAGCCGACAAGTCACAGCGCGTCGAGTCGCGAGTGTGAGTGTATGTTTGGAACACGTTTAAATATACATATTTACAAGTCATGCGCACACTCCACAAACACACACACACACAACACACAAACACATGTATTTATGTACGTGTTTGTGTGAGTCTTGGGGCAGGCAAAAAGTTTTTAAAGTGCTCAATGCTGATGACGCCATTGCAACAGTCAACAGTCATACGCCGAACAGGAGGAAGCGAGAGAGCAAACGAGCCGGGGAAGGAAGAAAGAGCATGAGTTTGAGTGTGGGTTGTCTGTGTGCGAGGGAGAGAGATAGGAAAGCCCAACTTGTGTGTGTGCTTTCCGCTTGAGTTGAGGGTCATCTGAAGTGGGGGAGCTGCAAAACAGACACACAAATTACAAGTTGATGCACTTTATAGACTTTACTGTCTAGTTTGGAATTGCAATCAATAATAAAACCAAATTGAATTAAAGGAACATTTAAATAACAGTAGGAATATTGGTAGACTAGAAGGTTCTGAAATATTCATTCATGTCAAAATGTATAGTACATTTTACTTTAGCCAAGCTGTACTGTACTTAATTACTGGAGTTTGCCAGCAGCAGAGTGTGACAGCAAGTTGATTTTTTTCTTTTTTATTTGCTTATTTATTTATAAATATTCGCTCTCGCGCCTGCTCGTTCGCAACTTGTTTTGTCTTTGAATTAACGGTTACTTCGTGACGTCGCATTTCGCGCGCTTTTTTCTTCCGTCTGTTCTGCTCATGCATTAGCATTGAAGCCGGCAAAGCCAAAGCTGCTGTCGATCCGTTTTAAGCAAAGCTTTTTGCTCTTTCTTCGTTATGAATAAATGCTTTTCTTTTGTCGTGTCTTTTCTATCTTTCTTTCCTTCCTCTGTGTGAGTGCATGGGTAAAAAACGGTTCTATGTGTTTAGATTGAATGACGCAAATCGAATATACAAAAACAGAAAGAAAAAAAAAATTGCGAGCATTGCAAGTCACTTTGGTCGGCAACAAAAACAAAAAGTAAAAAAAAAAATCAAAACAATTTATATTGGCTCGCACGCTTTTTGCCATTTGCGGACAGCTGCTTCTGCTAAAAACCATTTGGCTCAACAATCAAATTGTGTATTGCGTTGATTTATGTTTCTCTTTTTTATTTATACCAAAGGCGCGTCAGTAAATTTGGCCGCAGATCGATCAATGATACAAAGCAGCCATTGGGGCAGCACAAGCAAACCTTCCGCCTCTCTCGCATGTCTCCTCATTGGAATATGCACGAGGAAATACATGTACAGTGAAGCCTTCCTAATTAAAACAGTATATCAAAATTACTGTAATTTGTTCCAATTTATTATGGTGTCTTGAGGCTATACTGTACATCTCCCTTGGGTGAATATCAATAAATACAAAATTGTACATTATTTATTATTAGTTTAGTTGTTAAAAACTATCCCTTGAACAAGCGAATTTTGTTAACGAAAAAACTATACAAATACTGAACAGATGTATTTTATAATTTATTATAGTTCATTAAACATCTAAATTTATTTGAAACATTGTTGATTTATTTTGTTGCTTTTGAACATCTGCTTTCGAAATTGTTTTGTTTCCGTTCAAGAATATTTACTGTATTTATTTTTAAATTTGTTTCATAGGAACTGAACAAATTGTACGGACTGCGTTCTATTTTGGTGATTTTTTTTTTTTTTGCAATTTTCAAAGTGTGAAATTCTTGTCGCAGGTGTCTAGTCTTGTTTTTTCTTTTCTTTTGTTCTTTGACTTATTTTAAATGTTGGCACTCGGCAACAAACAAAAGGTAAAGCACAATAAACATGAACAAATGATAAGCGTACGTTAGCAGCAATGCACGTAAAAGTGGAAAAGAGAGAAGAAGAGGTACTATAAAAGGTAACAACTGCATGCACATTGATAGCAGATATCTTTATACATATACATGCATATATACACACACATCCACACTAAACATTTATTGTGCCTCACTTGAGTGAACTGAAGGAAAATTTTCAAGTGGAATTTTCATGTTCAAAACTCATAGACAACACATAAAAACGTATATATATGTATGTATGTATATATGATGTCTGTATATACACATAAGATATAAAAACAAAGCTAATTCGAGTTTGTCTTGCCCGCCCATCCCCAAAACAAAGATCGTTATATGGAAAAAGAGAAAATTCATAACAATGCAAATATGCGAAATAGACTAAAATTGGATGGAGGCGGTGCCAAAAAAAAAAAAAAAAAAAAAAAAAAAAAAAAAAAAAAATGATTACACAGCGCAGACAGGCGAGCACAAGTGTTGTGACGCTGTGTGTGTGTGTGTTTGTGTTGCTGACGGGTACAGCAGGGGCGCCAGAACGAAACAGCGATGGAAAACATGACAAGCGAAAAAAATGTTGTAATAAAACTAGAAACAAGCGCCAATTTCATTGGTCTGCAAGGGTATGGCTGAAGGGGGGCATAGAAGAGACACAGCAAGTTTGTGTGTGTGTGTAAGTAAAATATTTATGGACATCGACAGCAGCAACGGTTTTATAAACTCTTTTTTTACGTGCTCGCATTTGTAGCTACTTATTTATTTATGTATGCATAAATTGCAAAACAAAAACAATGTACATTCATACACACATACCAACGGGACTGGCATCGATACCCCCACCAACCTTCCACTACTCAAACTATGCATGTTTTCTGCTTCTTCCTTTTTTTCAATCAATATGCAGGCGGTGGCGGCGTTGCAGGCCACTGGGCAAGAAGTCAGTCACAATAGCGGTGGCTATTTATAGAACAAAACGGGCTGACCGGACACAAAGGGGGAACCGAAACAAAACTAAACTTTAATGCGCACTCGTATTCGGAGAGCAGCAGGCAGCTTTAACTGCGAGTTTAAAGTGTTCAAAGCTCCGCTCTCGTTCACACATTTATTTTGCACGAACTTTTCAAGTAAAACGAAAATTTGATACACTTTCACCCTTTAAAGGACTCACAAACTCAACTCAACTCTTTGTGCTTAACAAACAAACGCAGCGTTGCTGCAAAACATCAACCGAAATAATGCTGTTGAAATATGTCATTCGCTTGCTATAGGAGCTGGCCTCTGGCGCTCTCTCTTTCTCTCTCGTTTGTTTGCTCACTCGAACGAAATTGTGGCGGCGGCGGCAAAATAACAACGATGAGACAGAGCAGCGGCTTTAGCCAGCATGTTGCAGTAGTGTGGGGCGGAGTAGTTGAAAGGTACAGGGGCGTTGCGCAGTGAACCTTGCGTGTATATTGTCACTCGGCATCGGCAAAAGGCAACAAACACACACACATATTTGTATGCTTGTATAGATAATGTATGTGTACCTTATATGTGTATTTGTGCAAATATTATTGCAAAATAAATTTATGTTTTGCGAATTGGCAATAATAAAAATAATTATTGCTATCATTCGCTTTCTCGCATATAGACACTGGCTTACTCAGCAGCGATACTATAAATACACACACTCAACCATGCACATATACAGGCGCGCATGTAAATCGGCTTTAAAAATTCATACGAAATTCTGCACGTTTAAATTTTTTCTTGTACACGTTTATCGCGCACGCACACGCAAACATACATATACCCACGCACACATATACACATGTATATACTAAGTGAGAGACACGAGCATACACACGCTGGTCGAAAACAACAAGAAGAAGCAATACATTTATCCATATTAGAGATTAAGAGACGATGTATAGCTCGCACAAAATATGTATAGATACATAATATTTTTTTGTTATTAAATTCGCAGCAACAGCAACAGCGCACTAGTTTTTCAATTTCTATATATTTTTCATTTCGTTTTTCCTCATTGTGGCGGCGGCGACGGCGACGGTGGCGGTCGCAACTCTCGCGTTTTTTTTTTTTTTTTCCTTTTTTTGCGATTTTGTAATTGCACAAAATTCACGTGCTAAACACTTTCCCACACGCACAATTGATAGAGAATCATTTACCGGCTAGCTTAGTGCACAATTTACATGCATTTTTAATAAATTCTGTGTACTTTTTATATATTTTTCAACAAATTTTTTACCAGCAACGCGTCCAAATTCCACTTTCGACTCGCAGCTTTCAAAATGGCGGAATACGAATACGGCAATTTTTAGTTTTAGTACAGCAATGACGCGATGCTACTCACTACCGCGATGCTACTCATTTGCCGCGTATTGCTAATGATGTATGTAATTGTATATGAGCAATCAATAGGCGATCTAATTTCACACACCTGACAAATAATTACGTACTCTTTACTGAACGATTCAGCTCGAATTGCACTATTAACAACACAATTTTTCTTTTTCATCCACTTGCACAAAAAATGTTCTCTTTTATGCTTCTTCTTTGCGCGAAAGTACCATTCTCGTGTTTACGCTCCTACGCACACTCAGATGCAGACGCAATACCAAATGACTATAAAATATACTCTTGTATATATATTTATTTCTAAAATGCACGTAGCCCCTTACACTCACATAAATTAGATAAAAAATATTGTATGCGACAATATTAAAAATAAAAATATTTAAGTAAACCCGACAAACACGCAACGCTCGATGCGAGTTGCGCTGTGTTTGGACGATACTGTCCCGGGTATCGATAACGATATATACATAATTACTTTGTTTCGATGCCGAAAGAATGCACATTGCATTTGTATTCGTATTCGTGTTCCGTCATTTTTACATAAAAAGAGGAAGAGGCACAAAGGCAAGTGCAGGCGTGAAAACCAAGTTCATTTGGCATATCTAAAACTTCTTAAAGGCAATTTTACGCACATAGCAACATAATCGACATGTCCGTCAGGAGAGCAACGCACGCAGGAAGCTGGTACACAGATTCCGGTAACGTTAGTTTGATTATTTTTTTGTTCGTATATTGATGTCTTTGACCCTTGTGTGGGTACAACATATTGAGATAATGAAAAATTCGGAGAATCATAGAGAACTGAAGATATATATATTTTTTTTATTATATAAAAGGTGTAAAGTTTCATCCGATATAATTATTTTAGTGGAGCTTGCAGAATATAAGGGCAGTACATTGACAACTATGTTTTTGCTAATATAATTTTATCATGAAGATGACGTCAATAGATAAGATATACGGGGAATTTGTGGTAGATATCCCAGTATATATAGGATATTAATCAGAATGGATTTTTAAGCAGCTCAAACCATATGTATTTTTTTTTTTTTCAATTCAGAACATACAAGATTAAAATCAATTATTAAAATACGCACGATGAAGCTTAGAAATTAGTTTCCGGCTTATCACCTACTGAATTACGTATTTCTTCCATGCGATCGTATGCAATCTCAGTGGCCCAACATAAACGTTGCTCCAGCTCGTTGGTTCGCTGACGCTGCTGCTTCAGTTTGTCCAGGCCGTGCTCCAGCTGGGTGCATGCTTGGAAGAAGTTGCTCAATTCAGGTATATCACCAAACTCCCCGGGATGCTGGCGAAAATCTTCGCCAACATTTTTGGTCAGCTTATCCAGCCGATTCTGCAGAAAGCTGGACTCGAACATTTTCTGTAGTTCGCTGGTTGTTACCTTTCCCAGATCGTTGGCCATATTGTTCATACGTAAGTCGCGTATGCGAGACTTCAGTGAACCAAAATTGATGGACTCAAACTTCTCGCCAATGCCCTGAAACAATTGATAGCTCTGTCCCAATTCCAGCTGCATCTTCTGCATATCTTCATCAATACTCTTGGTACTCTTCGACTCCAGAAACTCTGCTGATAAACTGTCCTCCAAACTGGCGAGCCTATTCCTCAACGAGCTGGCACTGGATGTACCTATTATGGGCGAAGACGACGATGACGACAATGACTCTTCGCTAGCTTGTGCCTGGCCAGCAGTCAAGCGTTCGACTGATGGCTTCATGGTAATCGTTTTACCGCCAACTGACGAGCGATGTGACTGCGGATTGTGATATATTTGGCCTTTATTAGAGCTCTTTTTCGTCTTCTCATTCTTATTCGTATGCAGAGTGGGCAATGGCGTAGGCCTCATAAGGTCCTCATAGGAAATTCTGCGTTTCGGATCATTGCTTTTGCTAGAATGGATAGATTATTTGCTCTTATAGTATATATCTGTATATATCTTCTAATCGTACTCACTTCTCTTCCATAATGGCCGTCAACTCATTTCGTATGCGATTCAATAAGTCATCGCTTATCTTATCCTTCTCTTTATCCATATTCCTGATCAACGTAAATTTATATACAATATTTTATGAATATAATTTAATATTTTATTTCTAGTGTAAGTGAGGTAGCGCAGTTTCATCAAAAACTGAAATTTAATACATTGTATTCAAGGAAACTTGTTTGTTTTGTTACTTAGCAACACAAAGGTTACTAGGTTTTAATATAAATATTCTTTTGAACAGGAATACCTCTTAATTTTCTCTAATATACTTGTTAAAGATAATTGTTTGTATTTCTTTGTAGTAAAGAAATAATTTCCCTAAATTCCCATGACAAACTGTCTAGCCAAATTTCCCTTATTGCTATTTCCGTATTAAATAACAATTAATATAATTTTATTATTATATTTTGCAGCCTCTGAACTCTCCAGACAATTGGATCGTTGGCTGGGCGCTGCCGATTTATCCCATGGACCAGCACGTGCCATTATTGCGCCGTAAGTGCCGGCGTTAATTGAATTAAGAATCTAGCTTAATGCACATATATATTGTAAACTTTATAGACATGCCGGCTACGCCTATTGTGGTGCCTGCGGTGCATATGCCTATCGCCAAGTAAGCCCCGTTGTTGTGTAAGTGAGACACAATGCAATATGCCACTGAGCTGATGCCCTTTCTTGATTTCTGCAGTAAACGCATATTCATATTGGGACCATCGCATCACGTCCGCCTGCGCAGCTGTGCCTTATCGGTGACGAAAAAGTATAAGACGCCATTATATGATCTCAAAATTGATACGGAAGGTGGGTAAATGGAAATATCATAGTATCATATACAATTAACTCTGTATATGTCATTTCAGTCAATGCCGAGCTGGAAAATACGGGTCAATTCACCTGGATGGACATAAAGACGGACGAGGATGAGCACTCCATTGAAATGCATTTGCCTTACATAGCCAAGGTTATGGAGGAGTAAGTGCTAGCGGATGATGAATTATCACGGCGATCGAATCTCATATTATTTTCTTCCTTTTGTAGCTTTAAGGATCAGTTCACTATTGTGCCTATACTCGTGGGTTCCCTGAATCCGGAGCAAGAGGCCCAGTATGGCAGCCTATTGGCCAAATATTTTATGGACCCAACGAATCTATTTGTGATATCTTCCGATTTTTGCCATTGGGGCCAGCGCTTCAGTTACACCTACTACGATCGCTCCTGCGGCCCCATACACAAGTGCATCGAGCAGCTAGACAAGCAGGGCATGGACATCATTGAGACGCTCAGCCCAACCGCATTTACAGAGTATTTGCGCAAATATAATAATACGATATGCGGTCGTCATCCGATTGGCGTTATGCTGGGCGCCGTTAAAGCCCTGCAGGATCAGGGCTTTAAGAATATGAGCTTTAAATTTCTGAAATATGCACAGAGTAGTCAATGCCTGGACATGGAGGACTCCAGTGTTAGCTATGCCTCCGGCTCGCTAATCTTTGAGAATTGAACAAAATATGCTGACTAATGCAAGCAATATATGAAGTATTTCCTCTGAAAGTCAAATTTTATAAATAATATTTTTAGCATCTAATTGTATGAAGAATAAAGTTCAAAATTGATTTCCATTTAATTTAATTTGCTTTTATTTTTAATTTTTTGTTTTTGTTTTTCGTTTTTATTTCTGAAACATTGAAATTGACATCTAAGTCATTTTAAATGATTTCATAGGGTATCCTCTTTTGTTTTTCTTATCAATGAAATGTTTGCGTTACGGCGGATGTATGTGAAGGATCTGTGTGTGTGTATGTGAGTTCATGTTGTTGACATTGAAGCAACAGCTGTCATGGTCATAGCCACTCTACCACCAAGTAGCACCGACTCCAGCAGCACCCGCAGTTGCATCTGCTACAGCCGCATCTCCGGCAGAAGCTGCGCTTCCGTTGAGTCGTGCACACTGCTCCGCATCGCTGGCTATATGGAGTGCGTTCATGTTTTGCACAAATGCCTCGAGTACCACGTTCTCGTCCGGACTGTAGGGCGAGGTGCGCTGGCTGTGCGGGCTGCGACGCAAGAACTCATTCAGGTCGCTTGCCACGCTGGCGGGCTTGGAGCCTGCCGCCGGCTCAAAGTCATAGCCAAACGGATCCTGCGCCGATGTCGGCGGCGCCTGTGATAAACGTGGCATCATGTTGCCTTGCACAAACAGGTGGGTGGAATCTGCAACGAACAATATTCATAAGTAATCCGAGGATTCAATTGAATCAATTTAAGGACCAACCACTGCCGTAATCGGTGGCCACATTGTCGCAGTAGCTGTTCGCCTGCGGTTGCTGCTGCTGCTGTTGCTGTTCATAGGTATTCGCTGAGCAGTTGCGATTGCCGAACACGGTTGTTATCTCCACATGATGTGGCGATGGCGATGCATTGTTGCGCGTGAAGTTGGACTCCGATATGTTGTGTATGGAGACCTATAAATAGGTAAATGTGTAAGTCAAATCTTAAATTTGCCAAGTGGCTGTAAAGCTGTCAATATTTCTAATTCGAAATTAAAAATAAAAATTAAATAATACACAATTTCCTTATATGCATTTGTTTCCTTATAGCTCCATAAAATCGATTTGTTTATACAATAATTCCGATTCACAACACTGATAATCGAACTTCAAATTTAAAAAAAAATTTCCCAATATATTTATGGGAATAGCTGAAAGCTATATGAGTAAGCTAATAAGTTTATGCGGATAATCAGATATTGATTTCCAATTGGAGCTCTGAATCTAACTGAAATAAATTCCTAGACTGACTTAAGTATAACAGAAATATAAAAAACAAATTCAATTTGATCATGTACGTTAATATAGATTAAAGTTTAAATAAATCTTTTTTTGATATACATAGATACACTTTGCAATAAGAAATCCATAAGAACCCACATATATCAGTATAATTTCATATTAAATGCATTTAGGACGAATAAAATGAGAAATATGCGGGAGACAACTTATGGAACGGCACATGGCCCTTTCGAAACATATTCGCTTGAGTCGGCCAGAGTGGCTCACAGGAACGCACCTCGTTGTTGAGATGCTGGCCCGGTATCAAATTCTTGAGGAAGGCCGCATCGTCATAGCGAATGACGCCGGTGTTGGGTATGCCCTCGAGATAGGAATTGAAACCGGTGATGGTTGGAGGCGGCGAGTCGTCGCCACAATTATGATGCATGTGACAGTCGCCTGGGCCAGCGCCGGGTCCGTTGCCACCACCACCACCAGCACCAGCACCAGCAGATGAGGGGAATACCTCGAAGCCATTGTAGTAGCTGGACTGTTGGTATTTCTCCTGCAGCGTGGAGCCCGCCGGGCCGGCACCAAACTCCGATGTCGGTTGGCCAAAGCTCGACCATTGGCTCGATGCGGACGAGTGGTTGTCTTTGGTCTTCTGCTTCAGCTCGCTGCCAATGGCGGACAGACATTTCTGTGTCTGCTTCGGACGGGCGATGACGGCCGCATCGCCCACCAGACGACCCGGACTACTGCTGGTCATGGGAACATTTGTGCAGCTAATACTGATATTATTGTGCGTGTCGACCATGCCACCGCCGCCGCAGGCGCTGAGGCCAACACCACTGCCGCTGCTGCTGTTGCTGCTGCCGCCGCCACTGGCTGAACCACTGGAAAAGTATGAGAAGTTGGTGGGGGCAGCGGGAACTGGTTGAGCAGTGCTGCTGCTGCTGCTACCGGGCGTGACAACCAATGGTGGCGACGATAGCTTCTGCTGTGTGGCACGCGCCGCCTCGGCCACCGCCTCCTGCGGCGTATAGTAGTTGACATTGCTGCCAAACTGACGATAGCCGCCCATGGCCAATCCATTGGTTACGGCCTGGTGCAACGCCGGATTGCGTATGGTGAACATGCCGTTCTCATTCTTAATAATCGCGGCCGGTTGGTCCATTGGCAACGAGGCGGCAAGTGGCAGACCAGCGCCAAAGGCCCGAGCTGAAAAAATGCAATTTTAGTAATTTTTCTCTGAGATATTTGCATTTTGTACCTGGCGGCATGGGATTGGGATTGGACAGAATGCCAGCGGACACCGGCCCATTGTTCACGCCCTGATGGAACATCGGATTGCGCAGCGTTATAATGTTCCCACCCGCACTCGCCTCCATTATGGGCGCCGTGCTGAGCACATGCTGTGCCTGCTGCTGCTGCTGCTGCTGGTTGTCCGGGCCAGAGCGTTGCTTGTGCTGCCCCAGGCTGGCGAGGCCAGTGCCAGCACCACTGCCGCCCGACTTGCCACGATTGCGGCGACGTCGTCTCGACGATTTGCCACTTGCACTGGCCGCCGCAGCGGCAGCAGCCACATTCATATTCCCAACGCCAGTGCCATTGCCATTGGGCGGCATAGCCAGAGGCTGGCACTGGTTGCGGGAGCTGGAGCGCGGATTGGCCTCCACCATAATGACGCCACCGGCGGAGTCCATGCCCGTGGCATTGCCCGCATAGTAGCTGCTCATGAGATGTGCCTGTTGCTGCTGCTGCTGCTGCAGCGAGAGTTGCTGCTGTTCCGCCAGCGGTTTGGAGAGCTTACGTATGGATTCGCTCTTCTGGCGCAGCTGCTCGCTCTTGGCCGGATCTACCTTGGTGAGCGTTATGCCCGGTGGCAGTGATAGATGCTCCACCTGGACGCCACGATTCAGCTGATCCATAATGCTGCAATTGGGCTGCTGCATCTGCATCTGCTGTTGCTGCTGCTGCTGCTGCTTGCCGGAAGAGCCGTTGCCAATGCGCAGATGCTGCATCTGCTGGGTCAGCGTGCTGGCATAGCTGCCGGCATGCGGCGGCATCGGCGGCATCGACGGCGGTGGTATGGCAACTTCGTTGGGATTGAAATAGCCCATGTGACTGGGTATGCCCGAGAGATCCTCTGGAAAATCATACAGATACGAATTGAGATTGATATTGAAATTGGGATTATTGCCATTGCCATTCATTGAATTGTAATAGTTCTTACCCTGCTTCTGTCCACGATGTCCGCGCTTGCCACGCTGCGAACGCTTTGAGGTTTGCCCAGTGCTGCAGCTCTGCTCAGTGGCGATCGAGGAGCAAGTGCTATTGCTATTCGCATGAGGCAGTTGTTGCTGCTGGCTTCCATTGGCTGCCTTCGACCGTCCACTGCCGCCACGTCCTCCGCGCGACTGCGATCCGCGATGCCCATTACCGTTAGCCGGCGGCGGGACGCTCTGCGGTTGAACCTGCGCCTGCGACTGAGCCTGGGCCTGCCCTTGTCCCTGGCTGGACTTGGCCTTGCGTGTGCTGCCATTCGACTGTGAGTCGGACGAACGCTGCGATGGATTCTTAGCCTGCGCCGGCTGCTGTTGCTGCTGCTGCTGGGACGTAGCTTTGCGCTGATTGGAAGCAGTAGCTGATGTGGATTTGCCTGGCTGCGGATGTCCCTGCGGCTGCTGAGGAGCTGCTTGCGTTCGCGCGGCCTCATTTTTGGACTTCTTAACAGGCGCCGCTGCCGCTGCCGCCACCTTCTGCTTGGAATTTGGCACAGCTGCGGCCGCTGGCTTGGATGCAACACTCGTCTTCGGCTGCGATTTCACTGGCTGCGGCAATGGTGGCTCTGCTGCATCCTCCGACTCGCTGCCCGTTTCCCACTCACCGTCCGAGGAGTCGAGCAGGTGGAGCGACTTGAACGGATTGTTGTCCAGTTGGCCCTCATCCAGTCGCGGCTTCAAGCGTTTGTGTTTCTTTACTGGCTCCGGCTTTGGTTCCGGTTCCGGCTCCGGCGTTGGCTCAGGCTCCGGTTTGGGCGGCGGCACTTCGGCCACTGTTTTGTTGGCATTCTTGGACGCCGCCTTTTTGTTGGCCTTCGGCTTGATGCTGCACAAGGAGTTCTCGCGCGTGTTGACGGCGCTGCTTTGCGGCGTCTGCGACTTGGAGCTGGTGCCCGATGTGGAACTGGAGGCGATAGGAGCCGCCGTCACCGCCACGGCCGCCGCTGCCTTTTTGTTTTGTTTCTTGTTCTTTGCTGTCTTAGTTGCCTCCAACTCAGCAGCAGCAGTCGCAGCAGCAGCAGCAGCCGAGGCCGCAGCGGCGTTTGCTGCCGCCGCTGCTGCTGCTGCTGCCCGTTTAGCCTCCTTTTTCCTGGCTTTGGCGCTCTTCTCCATCACAGGCGGCGCAGCCGGAGCTGAGCTCTTTGGCGCTGGCTGCGCTGAGGCCACCATATGACCATTGACAAACGTGTAGAGCAGCTTGTCCTCGTCCGGCGAGCTGCCCTTGGCCACCACGGTCACCTGCTGTTCGCCGCTGGCGTGCGGCAGCTGCACGCGACGTATGGTGACGATGCGCTTGGATGGATCTGCGGTTATGGCATTGGCCGCCATGGCGGCGATCACGTCCCGCGGCAACTGCTGTTGCTGCTGCTGCGGCGGCTGGGGCGGTGCATAGCACATGGGTGTATGCGGCGCCCCAATGTGTGGCGGAAAGAATGCGGCAGAGCTGATAAAGCTGGGATAGTGTGCACTGGCTGCAGGTTCAGCCGCAACCGGTGCTGGCGCTGGTGCTGCTGCTGGGGCTGGGGCTGGGGCTGGTGGCCGGGGAAAGTTCTCAAGATGGGGTAGCCCTCCTTTCAGGATCTCATCGAGTTGCGCTAGCTTAGCCATTTGCTGCTCCTTGGTGGGCAGGTAAGAGAATTTAAATTCGCTGTTGGCCTGCTTGATGGTTGCAATCAGCTCCAGTATGACCGACTCCACCTTAGCCTTCGCCCGCTGCAGATTCTTGATGTTGGTCTCCAGTTCGGAAATTCGTTTCTTTTCGCGCTTGCGGCCGCCAGCAGCCGTTAAGGTTCGCATCTCATATTTGTCGATGAACTCCTTGAAGTAGATGTCGAGGAATTGACGGCGCAAATCCTCCAGCTCCCTAATGCGTTTCTCCTCCTCCTTGCGCTGCTTCTGCTTGGCTTTCTTGGCGGCCTTCTTGGGATTTGACGTTTGCGGCTGCTGTGGCTTGCCCTCGATGAAATTTAACGTCTCATTAATCCAACGCTTTTGATCCTGCTCGCGTGTATAGCTGCCCAAGAATTCGGCGAAGTCCTGCATCATCTCCTCCTTGCTGTAGCTGTTCAGATCGGCGGGCAGGCTGCCGGCGCTGCTGCTGCCACTACCACCGCTGCCGCCTCCAGCCGCATCCGTGTGCATCTGGATGCTCTTGCACAGACTGTCCAGGCAGAGCAGACTATTATCGCCATCCTCAATGTTGTCGCCAATCTCATTGAGTGCCGCCGCGGCGGCAGCAGCTGCTGCAGCCGCTGCCGCTGCAGGCATTTTACGTGTGGCCGCCTGCACCTGCGCCGAGGCAACCACCTTGAGTGTGGGCGGCTGCTGAGTGGTCACCGGCTCGTGCTTGCGACCGGCAGTTGGCTCCGCTTGCGCCCTGGCCACCGTCTCCTGGCTGCTCTTGCTCTTGCGATCGTTGACAATCTGTGTGAGCTTCTTGCGCAAGCGATCGCGCGTCTCGTTGAAGCGCGCATGATTGCACTCCTTCTTGACACGCTTCTTCGAGTGGTTCTCCTTGCAGGGCTCACCAATGTCCGCGTAGTCAGCACAGCCTACCGAACAAAGAAGAAAAATATTAAAGTGAATTCTTTAAAATAAATTTCATGAATTGCTGCTCACATTTTCGCATCTTTTCCTTGCACTTCTTGGAGTTATTCGAGTCGTTGCCGGCGCCCGATTGTGCCGGATCGTTTAGCTTCGACTTGCCAGAGCCCATGCTAGTGGTGCTGTCCGGCTTGCCACGTTTGCTGAATACAGAAATTTTGATAATTAATAAATAGTTCAATGTGTCAACCTCTGGAGTTACGCTACTTACATCATTTGCGAATCGTGCAGCTTCATCAGATGATCCACGCCAAATTGCATTTTGTCGATGTTGGCGTCGCCCAGTGTGAAGCTGGCGAAGAAGAAACCAATTGGGAGTTAGAAAAATGATCAGGCAATAACGAGTTATATGGTATTCAATACAATATTTAGCAAAGTAGCTCCCTCCCAAGGAAGTCAATTGATTGTGCTGAGTAACACGTCTAGCAAAGCCTACTATGATTAAAAGATTTTGATTGATTATCGATTTCATTTGACATTTAACTAAGTAAGCCATGACAAATGAAATGTTGGTATTTATGTTAAGATATAAATATATATAGTTGGGTATATCGATAATATGCCAAAGTCTATGCATGCACCATACATTCATCGTATACTTATTTAACTTTGATATATGATATTGTTTCGATTCGTCTCTGACATATAAGCTGTTTGGCATTTGTCATTTGGAGACACTTGCACTCATACCATGTGCTATAATTATGCATCATAAACGTATCTGATGTTTATTTAATTAAGTTAGATCGATTCAGTCTTTTCTTATATATTTTAAGCATGTAAGTAGATCCACTTATTCACGTCAACTAAATAGTGAATCACATTATTATCATATTAATCAATGTTAATGCCTTTTTATATATTGTCACGCTATTCGTATTGACCTCAATGCACCAGCATCTTATATCCTTATCACTTATCCTTAGCAGATTCACTAAATTATAAACTTACTCATCCGTAATCTTGAAGGGCGAATAGCTGAGAATGAAAATACCATCATTAATAGCGTATCACATGTAATTCCATTACTACTCACCCAATGACCTGGGCCAAAAACTGTTCGAAGCGTCCATCGTCCTTGTCGCCAACCACGCTATTTGGGCGCAATCGCAAATCGCCTTTGAGCAGCTCCAGATGCTTAAAGTCCGTGGCCGTCGAATTGAACTTGACAAAGAAATTGGCATAGATGGACAACACGAAGGTCCAGTAGGTCTTGTAGACATAGTGCTGGTTCTTGAGCTCCTGCAGCTCGGCGGGACTGGGCGCCAGCTTGCGATTGAAGAACATCAGCGATGGCAGCGTAGTGCGCAGCTCCTCGCGGGAAAACGACAACGGCTGGAAGCAACGCAACAAATGCTTAGTCAGCGGCGGCGACAGTTCATTGGCAAGGATCTTGCGCGCCAGCTGGCAGGCGGAGACTCGGCAGTTTTCGCCGCAAAAGTATTGCGGCTCGACGCTGTCGTAGCGATAGCGTTTGCGTGTCGCAAGGTGCTGGAATACAGCCCATGCCACGTGGTAGGTGGTGCGCAAAGCGGTATCCATCTCCTGACGTCGCAATGTCCCGCCACTTGACTCCTCCTTTGTGACAGCGACAACAGCATCGGACTGACTACGCTGCTGTGCGGCAGCAGCGGCGCTAGTACTAGCTGCCATATGGTGTTTGGCCTCATCGCTGGTGCAGGTGCTCAGTATTTTCGATTTCATTAGCTTGGCGTCCTTCTCAACAATGCCGAGTGTTGTGCACTTGGCACAATGTCCGGCTTGTCGCGGCATCAGAGGTGTGCCAGCAATGGAGCAAGTGATGCATTTGCAGTTTCTGAAACAAAGAGGGGAAATGCTTCGATAGAAATGTTCCGATATGTCTCAAATTTTCGATAACTTACTCATTATGGTATTCCAGCATCGCATTACACTTTTTGCATAAGTCCTCGTGCACCAGCTTATTGGGCGGATCGTAGAAACCGTCTGGCCATTTGAGCTTGGTGAACGCCATGATGTTCTTCCAAGCCAGTTGACGATCGACAATACGCTGAAAATCTATGAACTCATCATCACTGATATCCGGCAGCGAGAAGGAGGTGGCATCCATAACGACCTTATCAAATATGTTATACACATCGAGTAGGCCCATGCGACGATCGTGCTCCGTGGGCGACAAGTTGAACTTGTTTAGCTCCACCCAAATGTCCGTCCAGCGGCGCTCAATGGAGTGCATATGCTCATCGAATAGCATATAGCGTTTAATTAACGCCGTTGTCTGGGTCGAGCTCTCGCCCTCCTTCAGCGACAATATGCATGCGAGCATGGTGTCGCCCAGCGGATTGAACACATGTTGCTGAAAGAGGCGCTGGCACAGTAGCACCCAGGAGAGCTTGAACTTGCGCAGAAAATCATTCTCGAAAGCGAACAGACTTAGCGAGATCTTCTGTGAGATGCAGTTCAGATCTGAGTAGCCGTCCAGTAAATCTAATGACAGAAATGTGTAGAGGGTTTTAAAGATATAACTAATGTAAGAGTGTTTAAATGACAGTTTTTGTTTGTTTCACATGCAACAACAATTAATCATTATCTATATGCTGTCAACTTTGAGCAGTTTTCCAGTTATAAGTAATCTGATCTAGGCTATATAATGTTAGTTATTGTTATTTGTTATTTGGTGTTCGTTATTTATTAATTTGATATATCGGCTCGACTATTTATATGAGTCGAAGTAAACTGTTAGAAACATGTGAAATGGGATTCTAAGCACTTTTTTTTTACTATACAAATTATAGCTATAGTTAGTACTACTCTCAATATTCACATGTTAGTAAAAATTAAAAGGTAAAGCAATCGAAAGTTATCACCATTCATTTTTTTGTATACAGATGTTAGTAAACGTTATAAATAATATATTAGCTGCAAGCTATCACCCTTCGGTTGGACCTACATGTGAGCATCTTTTCGGCAGATATCTTTTCGTTCTCCTGCACGTTTTGAGCAATTTCGATCATGCCCTCGGAAAATGCCTTGACAATGCACTCAACATTATAGGCGAGTATTTGTAGCAGCAGCATTGGATTGTTGGCCATCAGTCTGTCAAGTGAATGTCGGAATGTTTATTTCGTATCACTTGGATCGCACAAACAATTATATCAACTTACATGGCGCTGAATAGCACTAATATCATATTATCAGAGATCGCAGTATCATCAATAAAATCCAGATATTCGGCATTTTTATCGTAGAGAAATCCGCTTGTAATCCAATATATTTGCTTATTGGACTCCAATAGCTTCTCAAATTTGTTGTAGGCAGCATCGTTTCTATAAATATAAATTAAAATAGATAATATCATATGAATTAGATATTGATTGGCTTGACACTAACTTTAACATGGGACTGTATGCCTTGATTAGCACATCGAGCAGCATGACGACCATGTGGGCAGCCTTGAATTGATCCATCATAATGGCCATGATGGTTTCGCGATATTCGAGACATTCCTTGCAGGAACAAAATGTGAAGAATTCCTCCTTTCGATGCTTCACAAATATCAAGGCAAGATTCTGAAAATAAAGCTGCAATGGATTAGGCTTCAGCATGACAGATTCATGACAATAGGAGCACACCGTAATTGCACGCAGCTGTCCGTCGGCGTCCCTCAGTGGATTCTTTGGATCCTCCGAGAATAAACGCATATTCTCAATGGCCATCTGCGAAATGGAACAAATATAATAATGGTTCAGTTCAAGTCTTTAGCTCTACTTACCAAATAAGAGCGCGTCTCATCGTTTGGATCCTGGCTTTTCGACTTACACTCGTGCAGCAGTTTATCGCTTAGCTCCATTTCGATGACATTGTTCTCGCGTAGGCTCCATTGCATGAGTGAAACCACCTCCTTGTAGACGACATCCGATTTTGGCGCTGGCGCGTAAGGATCAAACGGCGGCAGCGCCAATATCGTGTGCAGCGTATTTATGATGTTGCCTTCGGGAAAATTGAGCCGTTCCAACAGCTGACAAGGCGGTGGTGGATTGGGCTTGGTGCTGCCATTGCTTTTGCCCGCTTGATGTTTGGATTGGAGGGGCAATGGTTTGTTGGCGCTGAGCGCCTCCCGCATTGCGACCAATGCATCACATTTCATTGGTATGGAGTCGCCACAGATGCGCGGCGTGGCCGCATCAATGGACATTTTCATGCTCACATGATAGCAAGAGGCGGCATCCAGTTCACCATTGACAACGGCCTCGGCTGCAGCCACAACACTCGCATCGACGTTGCTGGCACGGGTTTTGGCTTTGGCTCCCTTGGATTTGTTGCTGCCGCTGCTCCCGCTGCAACTGGGACGCGCATCGTCCTCGCTGCTGCAACAGTTCATGCAAGTTTTTGTTGCTGTTGCGGCTGATAATGCTCTTTCGGAGTCAGGCACCTGTAACATTCCGGTAACGGGAATTGTCTTCATGTACGTCAATGCCTTCTCCACTTGTTCAGCCATCTTTATTTATTTGATTAAACGAAATTTTTCGATATCTTTTTGTATATCGTATTATTTTCTATTTATGTTTTTATTTTTGTTTCTTTTTGTTACACACTCTTTGCAACATTAAGCCACTACGTCAATCGGGCTAAAACGCAGCCAGGGCTTTCGCGTAACAAAAATTTGAGTATGCGCGACGCATTATTATACAAATCACAGATGCACTTCCGTGGTGGAGACACTTTCACTCGCCTCGTCTCGGACCGACCGTCGTTTTCGTTGCTGTTGCTGGCGATTGCCTGTATGTGTGCGTGTATGTGTATGTTTGTGTGTTGTGTCGAAGAAGTCTCTCACATACAGCAAAATGAAAAGAACGCAACGCGTTTTTTCCCAAAACGCGCGCGCCGTCAACGAGCTGTGCGCGTTTCTTGGCGTTTGACAATTTGATTCGATTACCTTGATACGCTTTTAGCCTAATTGGACTGCTGTGCAGTTATGTATATAGATTTATTTAACAAGTGAAATGTTTGGGATTTTTCGTTTTGTTTCGCTAGTCGTCCGTTCGGTGCAATTGCAATTTTCTGCCTTGAACGTGCGTGAGTGTGTGTGTGCATGTACGTGAGCGTGTTTGTATTGGCTCAGCGTTGCACTGCTTTCGATCAAATGGAATAATGGTGTATCGGCGATATACATACACAATAATATGTGTGCATTATCGATAGACCAGTATTGCGCACAAGCAGGTGGCGCTAAGCCAATACAATATATACAATATCAAAATGATTAAATATGCCATATTTTCTATATTATGCCATAAAAACAAACATTGAATTGAAGGAGGTATAAAAGATGTTAATATATTTAGTACTTATATGGAACACACAGTTTGTGTTTCGATGCACTTGTAGTGCTTAAACATTTAACACCTAAGAGTATGCAATAAAACTTTGAATTCTCTGAAATGAACAACAAAATTTCCCTTCCCATCGTTAGATATATTTGTATGTTAGTTTTACCGATCTTTAAGCTCTACACTTATATATATATATTAAAACCTACTATTATGGTACAAATTTAAGTGGTACTTTTATTTTAGAAAATTTGGAATATATTTTTATAGCCAAGACTGGAATTGATTATTTTTAATGATTTCTATGAATATACATAAGTACCGATTAGTGAACTTTGAATAATTGAACTTTATTTACAATATATATATAAGAAAGATAGAACCGGTTTCCGGTTTGTTTGCACGACTCTCATGCAAAGATTTCTTATCAATTGACAATTGAAATTGCCAAGCTTGATTTTAAAGCAAAAAAACGTTCAGTTGCTGTGTAGATCTTGACAAGGAAAGTTTGAGTTCTCGCTTTCAGATTATAAGTACGTTGCGCGTATAAAAAAAAAAAAAAAAAAAAAAAAAAAAAACAATTAAAAACAAAGCGAGTTATTTGAATAAAACAAAGATGTCAAGATCTGTGTTTCTGTGTTGTGTAGTATTCTTAATTACACTTAGTTGTGTTTGTGGAGATGGCTTGATAGAGGTGTTTAAATGGAAGCAAATGGATTTTTACAACCGAGGCGATGTTCGAGCAGTTCGACAACCAAATCCATCAGGTAAAGCTATATATTACCCATACATGTGAATGTTATTCTTTATCAGAAAGTGAACAAGTTCAAGCTCAATATTTAGAGTTGAAGAAAGTTGCTCTCTTACAAGATGATTAAACTTTATAAATAATGTATATAATATAATATTCATAAAATGTATTAAACATGTAAGGCAACAAATTAATTGAAATTCAATTTTACTTAAATTTATATATGTATGTACATATAAATAAATATACAAATCATTATAACAGCAGTATGAAGTTGAAGAGAAAACAATTATTTCGCCTACTTAATTCGAACGCAATTAAAATATATTTGTAGCTCGACAATTGACTCACTTCAATTAACTCCATTTATTGGAAAATTTCACTCCATAACACTCTCACTCTCTGTGCATATTATCTGTATAACAATCAATTAAAGTTCATGTGTTTTGCCAAACGCAGCGCCCGTAGTTTTTCCAGGTAAATATGAGCGAAGGAGACTGAAGCGCAAAGTGATTACCTCGCGGGATATACCCGAGGGCGTAGCGACTCGCAGCGGTCTTGGCGATGACGACTCTCTGCCTTACATACCCTACAACAATGTTCCGATGGGCGTAACACATTTTCGTGGGCGACTCTTTGTGACCATGCCCAGGCGACGTGTGGGAATACCCTCGACCCTAAATTACATAGACATGCGACGTGACAGCGCGCAGAGCAGCCCCAAGCTGCACGCCTATCCCAGCTTTGAGATGAACCAGTTCAATAGCAGTGAACTGAATCTAGTTTCCGTTTATCGCACCACTGTGGATGCGTGCCAAAGATTGTGGTTTATTGACACGGGCATGCTGGAGTATCCAAGTGAGTCAGCATAGACAATGGCTTATGCACACATCAAACTATTTCTAATAATCCCCTATGTACAACAGATAATCGCCAGCAAATAAGACGGCCTAGCATTTGGATAGTGGACCTGAAAACAGATCGTCAGCTGATGCGCTTCGACATACCCGAAGAGATTGTGGAGACGGGTCGTGGACTGGCCAGCCTCACCATTGATGTGCCCTCGCCTAATCAGTGCGATCAGGCATATGCCTACATACCGGATCTGGTCTATAGGAGGCTATATGTATACAGCCTGGCAACGGATCGCATGTGGAGCTTTGAGCACAATTACTTTAACTTCGACCCTGTGGCCGGGGATCTGCATATTGGTGGTCAGACTTTCCGCTGGGATGACGGCATCTTCTCCGTCACACTGGGTCCCCAGCAGCCGGATGGCAGTCGCGATGTCTACTTCCATGCCATGGCCAGCAACAATGAGTTCGTCGTCTCGAACCGCGTGCTCCAGTTGGAGTCGAATGCAGCTCGCTCCGATCATGGCAACGACTTCCGTGTGCTGGGCAGCCGGGGTCAAAATAAGCAGAGTACAATGCATCAGTACGATCCGCGCACCGGCGTCGTCTTCTATGCCGAGATACAAACGAATGGCGTGGGCTGCTGGAACTCGCGGAATCCGTTCTCGGCAGCCACCCATGACACTGTGGCAGCCAATGCGGAAACCATGATCTACCCCAGCGACTTAACGGTCAGAATATGAGTTTAGTATACATTTGCCATTACTAATTATGATTAAATTTCGTACAGATCGATGAGGATGGCACCATGTGGGTCATGACCAACTCGATGCCCATATTCATCTACTCCACATTGGATACAAACGTGTTCAACTTCCGGATCTGGAAACAGGACACCATTGATGCCAAGCGAAATACGGCTTGCGAATAGGTTTATGTATATGGAATTGCTTTAATGAACATTTCGCAATGAAGTTACATAATAATATATTATACTCGTATGTCGTAATGTAATGATTGCATACTGACAAAATATTAACACAAATTTCATATGTATACATGTATATATGTATGTATAAAACAAATTAAAAAGCCTTTACAAATGTACCTTTAAAAAATTGCCTAAATTTGAGTACTCAGTTTATCACATCTTAAAGTTACATAGATGTTTGCCTTCTTATCATTTTTCTTTTGTCATCAAAAACAAATCAAATACTAAAGTAAAACATATTAACGTAAAGTAAACAAAATCAGAGGCACTCTAATATTGCATAAGGATACTAAGTTGCACAGGTTTGTATAATACGTGTGTGTGTGTGTCTGTGTATATATATTCAATTCAATTTACGATTAAAATAGTTTTTCAAAATATTCAAATTAAATACTTTTGATTGTTAAAATATCTTTTTTTTTGTTTTGTAAAATTTCATAATTTTTGTTTCTATAATATTCGAACAATTTTTTTGTGCATATTTCTCAAAGTGAGAGCATTATATAGTTTTCTATGTAAACTACTTATATAAAATTTGCAAAAATATATATTTATATATGTATGTATATATGTTTTTCCGTTAATGCTCGCATGTATAAAGTTACTACATATAAAAGATGACTATATAGCATTTCGTTCGTATAAGTAAACATGCATTTTGTTTTGTTTTGTTTTTATGTGAATAATGGAATGGTTATCTGGCCCAGTGTTATACAAAAATATACACGTATAACATAGTATAACAGTTTTGAGTTACTACATTGCTATATATCTTCCTATATATGTATTTATATATATATGTGTGTGTATGTGTACCTATTTAAAAGCCGACCACTTTTGAAGTGAGGCTGTAGCCGACATTTTACTGTACTAGATAATCCTTGTAGCCGCGCAACGATTTCAGTTGCTTTTTCAATTTGGTTATCAAATCCGACGGTTGCACCAGTATCGATATATCCCTGCCCACCGAATTGAGGCGATCGCGTATCTCCAAATCCTTGAAGAACAGATTCAACGGTCGACCGTTAATCTCCGTCAGTATCCAAAAGGTCAGCGTGCTGCCATCGCACGATTGAGCCTGCAATGAATCAATGAATGACATGAATTGATTGGAAATGATTTATGAAATGCAATTTGTAATCACCTTGGGTGGCAGTCCATGCCGTGCCGCCAGACTGTTCGGCACCACATCCACAATCGTTGAGGTATTGCCATCACGTATAAGTCCCAAGCACTGTCCATCGCGATCCCGGCGTATGGCATAGGCGCGTCCAAAGGGTATGCGGCGCAGCAGCACTTCAACCTGTAAGCAAAACAATATACTCAATTACGTCAGTCTAAGCCTGATAATGATTTGGGATGTACAATTGGTGTCAATAAACATACATACTATACTGTATTCGTTTAATCTTGATAATGGTTTGACATAAATGATGACGATTTAATCATACAATTCGAGCACTTTGAGCTTAAAATTTGTGCTCTTTTACACAGATAACATTTCGATTTTTGTATAGTAAATATTATGTAATAATTGAAAATTAATAAATTAATTATATGAAATAAAATGATTCTATTTAGATCTGTCTTATTTATTAAGCAAAAATTTACTTAAGCCAACTACAAATTAGGCAATATATTAGTATTAATATTACTATTAATATGTGTCAATTTAATACAAACTCTATCGTCTAATAAGTACATATAAATTGCTAAAGATGTCATATAATCTTCCCTGGTCAAACATAAAGCAACTAATGATAGATAATGTTAATGAAGCAGATGTCTATTTTCAACACATTCGCATATTGCTAATATAACTCACACTATGTATATATCTTATGTATATATTATAAATATATATACGTTTTTAAAGCTTAGCATTAAATTTCTTGCCCTAATTTATAGTTTCTTTTTAAAACTATAATTTCAATCTATATCATGTAGTATATATTCCAAGATTTTAACTGATACATATTAACACAGCATGATTCATAAATTTAATTATATTCTAATTTACGTGAGGGCGTATTTGCAGTAAGTAACAATTAGCTTACATCTAGATGTATGTAAGTATGTTCAAATAGTAAATACTTACGAATAACGTGTTGGTATTGCGTATTATTTTATTTGCCTCAGCGGCGCTGCTGATGCTGACGCCCGCAATGGAGAGCAGCTGATCGCCAATGTGAAGGGCGTTGTAGAGCACAGGATGCTCCTTCTGCTTCCAGCCCGCAATCCTGCATATGAGACGAGCATACATTTCAATTAAACACTTATTTACAGATATAGGTTCTATGACTCACCAGACACCACCGAAGGCATCCACCCAGGCAATGGAGCCAACACAATTCTTACGCCGCAGATTGAGTCGCACGCCACCAGGATGCATGATCTCACGACGCAACTGCATGACCTGCTGCTCCCTCAACGTGAGTCGCTTATTGCTGCTGTTGGACTGGTTGGCCGCAGCTTGTGGCGGAGATTGCATGCGGAATGCACCTGCAGCTGCTGCACTGCGTCCTGGTACAAACTCATTGTTGTTGGCGCCGCGCTGGCTACTTTGCTGCGTTGTTGCAGCGACTGTGGCGCCACGCTGCAGCGGCGCTTGGGCATCCGATGTGGAGGAGCTGCGCCTGCGCTGCTCAATGCTGTCCGTATTGGTGCTGCCGGAAATATTGCTGGCATCCCGCGTCGCATTGCTGGCACCGGAGCTGGAGCTGTTGTTGGCAGCACTCTGTTCAATATTATTGTTAGCATTGCTCGTGTTCGTGCTCGTGCTCGATGCCTTTGGCGTTGTCTTCGTCTTCAACGGCGTATTTAGTAGCTTCAGATAGTGGAAGTCACGGCGACTGGGTCGCGTGCTAATGACCAGCTCGGTTAGGCCGCGTGTCAGCTGTGGCCGGGCACGTCCATTGCTGGGCGTGGGCGAGGAAATGGCCACGCCGCGACGTGGCAAAGCGGGACTGCCATTCACGGGTGTCGCCTCCACATTAACCACTGCATTGCTAGCCTGACCTTGGCTACTCGTGGGACGCACAGCCGTTGGACTATTGCTGCTGCTGTTGCTACTGATGGGTATGCTCGACGAGAGGAATACCTTCTCATAGTGCACGTTGCCGCTGATGACATTCGAGTCCTGCGCCTGCTCATTGTTGATGCGTATATTCGTAATTCCCGAGCTGTTGGCGCTCAGTATGATCTTCTTGCTCATCTTCGGGGTGATTGGCTTACTCGCACCACCACCGCTGGCTGTGGTGGGGTAACAGGTGCCATAAACTGCCACCGTGGTTGCCTCACCATCGGCCAGCACCTGCACCTTTGTCGTATTGGCATTCGCTGTTGCCGTGGAAGCATTCGAAGTTGGCGCATTCGGATTGGAAGCATTCGGTTTTAAGGGTATGGTATAGGGATTGCCACTGCTATTGCTGCTACTGCTGTTGCTGCTGCTCGGCTGGCTGAGCACTTGTATTGTATTCGAGTTGGACGGAATTATTTGTACATTGCTTTTGTAATCGTTCTGTGGCTGCGATTTCGTTTTGGCTTTCAAACTGATTTCAGGAAAACGAAAAATATCCGCAATTACTTTATTTTTGGGCGGCAGTTCGGGCGCTTGCGTCGTAGTCGTAGCATTTGTCGTATTGGACACCTGTATAATCGTGACATTGTTGTCTCCATTCTCCTCGGCGGCAGTTGAATTTGTGGCTGAAGCTTGAAGCTTTGGCTGCGGTGATTGGCGTTGCGGCCTCTTGGTTTTGTCAGCGGCGCCAGCTGACATGGAACGTGATGTTTGGGGTCTAATGGAGAGGACGAAAAGTAAAAGCTTTAGTTGATAGAATAGTAAAGTGAATATTAAATATTGATAAGCTAGATTAGAATATGAACCTTAAATATCTTAATATCAATCTATAACTGGCTTGCCCCACAACAATCTTAACATCTAGAAATCTTTGTGAACTTCATAAAGTCAAATCAAGTCAAATCTCAATAACAACCCAATAATTATAGATATTTCTTAAAATGACCGATGAAGTGGCTTTATCAGATGAGACGTTGGACGAGTTGTTCGTTAGGGAAGTGGGCAGCGTGACGAAAATTGTGGAAAAGCTGCCCAGCAATGCAGTAATGGCCACCTGCACGCGTTGGTTCAAGATCTTTCAGGCAGCCGATCCCGAGGAAAGATTTGCACGCAATTGCATGCTGCTATTGCTCCACAAACAGCTCAACGATGACAACACACTGAGTTTTCCTTTTACGGATGCTCGCAGTTACCAGCGGGATCTAAAAACATTGCATCAGATGAGCCTAACACTGCACCATGCAGATGGCAGCGTCGACGATGTTAATAAAGATGATAACCGAAATGGAGATGCCAATACCGAAGATAGCCCCACAATGGATACCAGCTCGCCATTCAGTTCGCATAGCCCAGAGGTGTGTTGCGTAGAGAATTCGTTGCGCTTGGAGATCGCCAACAAGGTGCTGATGGAGCAAAACAAAGAGATGCTCAGAGAGCTGCAGGAGCTGGAGGCAGAGAAAGAGAAGTTGCTGACGCATCGCGAGAACCTAGAGGCTACAAACGAAACACTGCGCGATCACAATAAGTTGTATAGCAAAGAAGTCGGCTGTATGAAGCACATTTTTGCCTGCTCATCTCTGACGGCCCTTAAGCTATTTAGCCAGCCACAATTTATGGAACGTCCAAACTATTTCGTGACCCTTTTCTCTGTGCTCTGCGACGACGCACGAGATCGGGCACACTTTGAGCAAATGGATATTAAGTTAGGGAGTTTACTGCGCGACCACATGGACTATTATGTGTCATTAACAACACGAGATCAAATTAGCAGAGCATACTATGAAATGCACGCTAGTGTGTGTAAACGCTATAAGCAGCTCATTAGAATGCAGGAAGAAACGGCGGTGCATCAGCTATCCTTAATGACAATGCGTTATTTGATGACATTGCGCAAACTCTTTCTGGACACCCACAAACAGGACAAGGGTGTGGAGCAGTTGGCGCTGGATTTCATACAATATAATTACAATGATTTAGCGAAGGGACTATAGAGTCATCTATGCATTTACCTGGGTATAAGACGTTCGCATTGCAGCATTTGTTCAAAATTTAAGATTTGATCTGTAAAAAAAAATGTTTAGCTTAATTGAATTTAACGCTTTGACATGGGATGCTCACCCGCAGATATTCGCTGTGCAGATGAAGCTGCAACATCGACTCGCACTCCGTTTCGTAGTATGGGCGTTAAGAACTCATCCTCGGAAAGATTCGAATCTGCTGTGGTTGCGCTTGGGGGTTCCACTATAATTGTCTGCTGCTGCTGCTCCTGCTCCTCCTCTTCATCTTCAACAGCAGCTGCTGTTGATGCTGTTTCGCTAATTTGTTCGCTGTACGTGCTGATGGGATCCGAGAGCATATTAAGCAAATGCTGTGTTAGGGTATTGGACATTGCTGGTGGCGGCGCTGCTGTAGCTGGAGCTGTTACGGCAACAGCGGGTGTTGGAGCAGCTTCTATGACTGGTGCCACCGTTCTGGCTGTTTGTTCATTCCCAATGGTTGCTGGCGGATGCTGATGAGCCGGAATACGCTCGACCCCTGGCACTATGGCCGCTGGTACGGGCGGTGGTGCCGGCAACGGAGATGTTGGATCACGTGTGGGCAGCAATGGGGCTCGCACTTCAGGTAACTTTGTGTATAGGTTTTCACGAGGCGATAGAATTTTCATTTCGCGCAGCTTAGCTCGCAGCGTTTCCACCCATTCTTGCATAATCTCCCTGTATTCCGCAATAAAATATTGTTAATTGCTTCGTTTGTGTGTGTTTGTGTTGTGCGCAACTTACCATGAAACGGCATGAAAGCGCAACACTTCATTGCTGAGCGTCACTACAAATTCAAACTCATGGGAATTGGGTATGAGGGCATGTGATATGTGCAACGTATCCCGCAGCGACACGGCCCATTCAGGCATATGAGCGGCCGCCTGCCGCGGCTCTGCATAGCCCTCCAGAAGGGCCTCGGTGTCATCATGCACGCAGAACACAACCCAACTGCATTCCGATTTCTGCAAATCAATGGTAGGTAATTTTGACTGCTATAACTGATGATAAATAGTTTACCTTGGGGCCCACGGTTAGCTTTTTGCCATCGGCCGTCAGTCTTTTCAACCACGTATTCTTATGTATTTCACGAAACTGCGCCGAGCTGGCGGTCGCTGCGATTGCAGGTGCATTTGCAGGTGTTGTTGTTGTTGTTGTGTTTGCAGCTGGCACTGCTGCAGCAGCCGCAGCCATCTCTGAAGACTGCTCTTTGCTCTCCTGCTTGTTGCTACAATGCGCGCTCTTCGATTGCACTTAACATATTTCACATTTCACACAATTTATTGCAACCTTTTCTGCATCCGCATTAATAACAAAAAAGAAGTCAGCCAGAAATTGGCGACGACGCCATGTTTGCTATCAGCAATTTTTTATCGACTTCTTATCGATACTTTGTATATTATATCGTTTGGTGCTGCCACATTGTTTTCAACATTTAGAGCTTTAAAAATAAGGGGACATTTTCAAACATTCTTTCGATTCAAAATCCCAGTATATTCTTACTATTTTTATTTTTTGCATTTTATTTATTAGCTGCTATTCAAAATAAAGTTAAACAGATTTATACTATAATACTTTTTTTATTGGGATTTTTAAAAATAGTATTTTATATTTTTTTTGATTCGTTTTTTATCTTTATATCACACAAAACGTAAATAAGATCTTTTTTATAGCTGTCTTAAGTATCTAGAACTAACCAAAAAACGATATTTTTATTTCTACATCCGAAAACAGAAGTAAATTAAATTAAATTTATGTTTTTTTTTTTTTCATATGCATTTGCAATCGAGCAAATGGACAAGAATTAATTTTAAAGTTTTACAAAAAATATTGGTATTGCAGCGCATTTAATACTAGGTATACATATACAGGTGAATATGTATACTGTAAGAGAAGTCATTTAACATTAGTACGTAGTTATATCATTAATTTTAGCATTAGTTTATCTTTTCGTTTCCAACATTAGTTACTTATTTACAGCTGCAGATAACTAGTATGCGAGTCAAAAGTAGGTAAAGTCGCTTCTTTTCCTTTCTTTTTGTAACATAGACAGAACGTACAACGAGTTAACAATTACTCAAATGAGAGAACAAAATAAAAATAGTGGCAAAAAAAAAAAAAAAAAAAAGAAGGAAATGTTTAAACTTATAGCGAGTCTAGGAAGTGGGCATTTGCATTAAATTAATTACAATTAACGTCTTTAACATAAATTTCAATCAATCGAAATGACGGTTGGTTTTCAAATACAATCGAGTCTTGTAGTGTTTACATTTGCTTTAGCTGGAAATTTTTACATTTATATATCAAGATGGGTTTTCACAGTTAGCGTGTGTAAAAAGTCATTTTTGTATGTTTATACGAAAGTTTTGTTCAATAGCTTAAGCACGGCTCGTCTATATATATAATTGGCTCATATTAAACGCGAAATTTGCTGCTCGTAATGTTACTTTTGTAGTCATGGGTCAAGATAACTTCTTTTTCAACTCTTCTATGCATATATATATATACATATAGTTATATATTTTTTTAATGATTTTCAGTATATATATATATATTTTTTTTTATGTTTATGGTATTCGTTTGCATTTCGGTTGAGTTGGTTATTATACATATGATAACGTGTGTGTATGTGCGCGTAATTTTCATCAAATTATGTTTTATATTTGTTTGTTTTTTTTTTTTTTTTTTTTTTTCAACTTTTCAACATAGTTGCTTGTCTGGAATTAGCTGGTTTTATGTGTGTTTTTTTGTTTTTAAATGTTTGGTTAGACAAGGGAGGTGAATATCATATATAAACGGTAATCGAGTTCTTGCATGGGATGTTGGAATATCCTTGCTATGATACGTTTCAGATGCACATCTGAAATCGCTGCTGTGAGAGGTTATATAGTTCAGAGTATTGGGGGCCGGCGCTTACGAGGCTATAAAATCCATTTGATGGCAGAGTGGTACGAATTCGTCAGCCATGGGATTTAGCACAGATTTCTCAATATTACATTGACTCTTTGGTAGCGCAGATAAAGCCGTATTTTGTTCTTCCGTTCTGCAATGATAACGATCATATTATTATTATTATTATTATTATGTTATCATATGGTCTATGTTTGCATCACGTACTTGGCTTTTTCCCATTCATTTATTTGTTCCTCGAGCTCATCCTCGATCATGGCTTCGAAACACTCTTGCATGATATCTTCCTCTTCAAGACGTTGCAATTCCTGCAGAACGCCAACATGATTAAATATAAAGAGCATAATTTAGTGCAATTTCTTTCTTACGTTCTTGTCGAATTCCTCCTCGTTCTCCATCCACATATATTCTGAGAAATCTGGCTCATCGTCAAAGTCAGACAGTGATTCGTCGTCGTCCACCACATAAACTATTTGATCCGTCCAGTCAACAGATGGTACTTTTAACAACATGGTTGTGCTGTAATTGATAAGCGATAAATTTAATTTAAAAACATTTGAAAACTCAATACAAAGCGAGTCGGAAATTATCGATAAATTTACACCCTGTAATGAGGTTTTCCGGTAAACACAATATTTAAATACAGCAGAAGCGGAGGAAATGTTACGAGAACCAGAACAGAAAATTGAAATGAGAAAATTAAATACTAGAAAAATTCAATACAAATGCAATACAAAACAAAGAATAATGTGTAGTTGAGGAGCGATTCGAATTCGAAAAATCTCACATGTTCTGCTTTTCCAGAATATTTAAATACCAGAAGGATCGACAGGCCTAAAATTTATCATTAAATTGGCAGAAAAAGCCAATGCACAGAAACAAGGCCATAAGGGTTCATAGTAATATACATATCAATAGCTTATTTAACACACATACAAACACTAAATTAATATTTTATTGAACATATATATATGTACATATGTGTATACATATGTAAGTAGATTCCACTATTGCTTAACTATATGAGTCCTTTTCTACGCACTTTTAATCAGACACATACACTATGTACATATGTACAGTAAAGTTATATGAGTGCAATAACTTTGTGTAAGTATGCATATGTGTGTCTCTCGACTGTCTGTCTGTGAGTATTCTCGTTTAGTGCCGGCAAAAAGCTGTTAGTTGCGTCGTTCTTATAGAAACCGGTTTAACACCATCGCCAATCGCTTAATTGAGATAAACAAAACAAAAAACAAACAACATTACATACTAATGCAGTCACATAATCAACTACACAAACACACACAATTACATACATTCGTATATAATAAAATATTGTTTATATAAATACGTAGCAAATAAACGAAAAAATTTTCTTTTTTCTTTGCCTTTGTTTTGCCCAATATGTGTCTTCACTATTTTTGTTTTTTTTTTTTTTTTTTTTTTTTTGCATTTTGACAGCCGTTGCGGCGCATAAAAATATTTTCAAATACAGAATGACTAAGCTCAAAGCACAAGAGCAAAAGAGAAGACTAGAGAAAGGCAAAAGAAAAAAAAAAAAAAAAAAAAAAAAAAAGAGCGCGCACACATTCACATATAAACAAGCACATATATATGTACATAGGGAAACAGGGCAACGGCAATTGTTTATAAACAAGTGGGGTATATACCACACACATATATTTAAATACACACACACACACACACACACACAGAGGCATATATTTTTGATAAGCAGTATCAAGGCATTATTAATTTGTATGTATATCAGCATATATGTGTGTATTTAATGGTACGCTGTTATCACCTGTTTGCGACGTGAACAAACAAAACACAAATAAACTATAAATAAATTCGATAATGACGTCGTCGTGAATTTATGCAAAACGCAATAAGACAATAAATACATAAGCACATACATATTACATATGCATATGTATGTATGCGGATCGGCACGGACATGGACGTTGTTTGGTTCATGGGCGTAGTTAACTTGTGCCGTCAAACAAAAACCTAGCTGTGTGCGTGAGTGTGATAGACTATGTTGATGTGAACGTGTGGCTCCGCACATAAACATACATATGCAGCAGAAACAAACATTCGCATTCACACACACACGCGTACGCACAGTATTGCTACAGTTGCCATATTGCAAAAAATTAAAATGTATTTACTTCGTGATCCCAACAAGCACACACACACATGTATGGATATAACATTAAGTGATCACTGCGTATATACTAAATATATATGAACACACTCGTACATATACTTAAGTATGTATTCACACACACACACGCACCTGTAAATATACACACACACACATACATGATTGAATGAACCTCCCTCAACTCTGAGCGCAAGCAGTTGAAACAACACGGCGTACTCAAGGTAACAAGTGTTTCGAAAAAGTTTATAATATTCCACTAAAAAATCAACATTCGTGTTATATTCATTGCGATTTTTTATAGTTGCGTATAACAACAAATGGCACGTAGCATAAAATCGACTGGCCCAGGGGCAGACGTCATCGCTCCGCGTCGTTGAAAATATTAGCGTTTATTGATTTGTCAAGAAGCATTGGCTAGCGGAAATGCTAAACAACAAACAAAATAAAAGCCTGCAATTACAAAAACAGGAAACGTTTTGCCATGTCAGCTTTATGCCTTATGTTTCCGCATTTCTTTTCGCACTTGTGTAACTTAGCCCTAAAGTTAGTTAAAGCCACTTAACGTTTTCTCGTTTATTTACTGTACTCACTTTGCTATTTTACTTGAAGAGCTGCCAAACTGAAATCTATGTTCAGATTTTGTTAATCTTCCACTGAGAATTTTGTATTGCAAAAGTATAAAGGGAGACACTGACAATTTATTGTTGCATCCAGATAGAAAACACGCAAATTTTTCTATTGCGAAACCAATTCAAATGCTGTGTGCGGAAACACGTCCATGAACGTCAAGCAAACGAATCGAAAATGATTTATAAAACAAAAACTGACAGACGATTAATTTTGTACAGCTGTTCGGGTTTACTAGAGTACATCGATAGATTTGTATTTGCAATCGATTTACCGCAGCTGAATCGATAGCTTTTACAGGTTGGGTTGCTCATCAACTTGTCATTGAAATGCGCGCGCAATGTCGATTTTGAATGGAGTAAAAACGAAAATCTGGTGATTAGAATGTACACATATATATATTTACGTACTAAGTAATTTTTTCGAGTATGTGTATATAAATAACTAGCAAATTACTGCTGATACAATCAGAATACAGTGTCGACGCACACATTTTTTATCAGATCATTTTTGTAAAATGAAATAATTGAATAATTTATATTTATTGATCCACGCGTCAAACTAGTTTTCTTGTTGTAAATGTAATGACGTTGTTTACATCAATTTTATTTTTATTTTAAAGTTTGTTTGTGACAATAATAATATATTACAAGATAAAGTTAAAAATAACTAATACACCTACATATATATTATAGAAACATACGACTTTGGACGGTTTTAATAAATATGTACAACAATATATTCAAGCACTTTGTTAGTTAGCCGTTTCATTTGTGGTATTTGAGGGTTTGACTTCAGTTTCTGGCTTTTGGCTTCGAGGGTCCCATGGCTGAAGATTTGTACTGCCGAACAGACCAAATACAATTATGGCCAACACATTAAAAAAAATTAACGTCAGCAAAACATGATTCCATTCTGACTTGATACCCTGAAACAGAAAAAATTAGTTTCACTTGGAGTTTATATATGAGGTATATCTATCTCAGACTCTTACAGTTTTCACCAATGTGGCTATGACATGTGAGACCAGAAAGCCCGATATGTGTCCAGCACTGTTGGCCAGGCCTGAAATCATGCCAGCAAACGATGGTGCAAAATACAATAAAGTCGGCCAATAGCCACTAAAGCCCATATCTGTGGTAACGCCCAATAGCACAAACATGAGCAACACAAATATCTTTTGCTCACATCCTGCCAGAATTATGATCAGTAGCAAAATCATATTTGCAATGGAGCCTATAAATTTAAGTGAAGTTTTTAAACTTAATGATTTACTTGATATACAATATGCACTTACAGACGACGTACAAAAGTCGACGTATATAACTGTGCTTGGCATACACACGTCGCTCTATAATGGAACAACTCAATACACAAATTATCTTAGAGAGCAGCGAGCCCAAAAATGGGGCCGACGACAGAAAGCCAATCTAAAAGAGGAAAAATGTTGGTAGGTTAAAAATTAATATTCTCATTAACATAATACTAGAAAGTAATTTAGAAAAAAATTTCAAACGCTATAATTATCTAATAATTCTAATTTATTTTAAAAAACAAATAGGATATGATTGATCATTTCATATGCTATATGTGAATTCCTATTCCAGCAATATGATTATTTATTTAGTCATATATAGGACTACATATATGGCCTATATAACTAATAAGTTGGCCGATATTTATTCATGCTATATTCTTTGATTATTCAAAATGAAAGTAAAGGAAAATGTAAAGTGTTCCTATGTCAGCTATATGATTCTTTTATATAGGTCATATATAAGAAGTAACTCAAAACCTTACAATATTCAGAAGTCGTACAAGAACTTCCATGTCCGATATGATATTATTATACGGTCTGTATTCTGTATAGTTTATCATATATAGTTTATCTACCTCTTTCATGTTGAGCTGCATTGCTTCACTCATAAATCGTGGCATTATGAGCGAGAAGAGCAGAAAGGTGTAGTTGTGAAAGACATGGGTTAGAACGAACGCATGGACGGGCAGGGAGGTCAAGAGCGAACGCCAAGGTAAGCTCAAATGCTGCAGGAATTAAGGAGAATTAAATCATAATCAATGAAAGGCTTATGGCATTAACTCACCTGCGGCTGCTGGGCAGATTGCTGCAAATACTCACGCTCAGCGTCCGAGATACGTGGATGCTGCTCCACACTGTTGTAAACCAGCCAATTACAGATGATGCCATGTGCAAGGGAAACGCAGCCGATCACGTAGAAGGGCAGGGACCAGCCAAGCTCGCTGAGATAAGTGGTCAGCGGATATATGCCAATGGAGCCTAAGATCAAGCCGCTGTAGGCAAAGGAGAGCATCGACGTACGCTCCGTGGGATGTGCCCAAACCACGAATAGCTGATAGAGGGGCGGTGTGCCGCAGCCCTAAAGTGTGACAGATGTCACATTGAGTATATTCAAACTATATGCAATCTACTTGCAAATCTCACCGCGAAAATGCCAGCAAATACCAAACTAGTGACTGCTGCCGCATAACTATAATACGCTAATAAGGGCAGTAAAATGAAGGCGACAGCCTGCAGAGTCAATGAGTTGATAAACAACACCTTGCCTCCAAAGCGATCCGTTAGATGCCCAGCCAATGGTAGGGCAAAGACGAAGCCGTAGTAGAAGGTGCCCGGAAAGGCCAAAGCCTGACTGCGACTCCATTGTAGATCACCGAGCTGTAGACGGTGAAACGGCGAGAGTGGTGAGGAAATATTGAGAGTGAGAGAAAATTAGGGAAAGATATGAAGTGTTGGACAGATAGAGACAGAGAGAGAGGAGGAGAGAAAGAAAAAGATAAAGTGAGAGACTTAGAGAGAGAGAGAGAGAGAGAAGTAGAAGAGAGAGAAGTATACATCGAGTGAGAGTGTTAGCGTTTGCGAGAGTTAAGAGAAGAATCAAGAGATTTAGAGAGAGACAGAGAGAAGGAGAGAGTGCGAGAACACAGGGACAGAGAGAATTCCGCATGCACTCCGCACTAAGTGTTCCATAAGACTTACCTGAGCACCCTCCAAGGTGGGCTGCACCCATACTCTGTCGTTGCTGCCGCAGGTGGAATTCATCGTAATGTTATTTAGGCCGGACTGCAGTGTCTCCCGGGGGTGTGTCGGGACCATGTGCAGAATGATCAGACCCAGCATATTGCGCATGCCCATCTGCAGGACATTGGCGACGAAGGCGCAAAGCAAGTAGGTGAGCCGAGCCGAGCCCCAGAGGCGGCAGCTCGACTCCTGGGTGCACAATTTGGGCACATTCCATGACTTATGCGCCATTTAAGCGGAAATCTATATAGATTTATATATGTACATATGTATATGCAAATGAATTTTTGTTTTGTCTGTGCAATTAATATTTCGAACTGTGGGGTCGTACGTTGCGCCGCACACTGACCGAATTCAACTGAAGTTCGCAACAGATGTGAAATGCAATATAATTTGCAGTTTGTCACGATTTTTCGTGTTTATCAAAGCTCAAAGCGTTTGGCGTTCCGCTTATCTACACATAAATATGTAACGGATTTCGAACGAAAAACAATGAGAAAAACAAAAGAAGAGAAGATAAAGCCGATAAGTGAACCATGCGAAAGATGAAGTTGAGAAAATTAGAATACACAACTACAGCTGATTAGCCAGTGGCTCTCAAACTGTACGGCGCTTGCACTCAGAATGCTTGCAAGCCATTCGCAAGCTTCTAATTAAAGCTTATTTCAGAAATATTAGTAAATATGTAAATTGTTGATATGAGAAAAAAAATGGTGCTTTTTGTGATTATTATTATAATTATAGCTGAAAACAATTAAATACTTTTTGGGTAGTTTGAAGAACTAATTTTATTTTTAACAATTTAATAAAACAAAATTAAATTATTATTAATTATAATTAAGTATTTAATCATCCTGAAAATGGATTTTCAGCGTAAATTATTTGAGAGGCAGCAGTACCATAAAGTATATACATACATATATAGCATGATGAATATATATTTCTGATCAGCATCTATAGACATGAAGACTTTGAGTTCATTAAACATAAAAGACTTGAAATTGATCACGCATAGCTCAAGTTTGCATGAAATTGTCGAGAATCATCTATGTCAGTTTGATCAAAATCTATATTAAATTTACAGTTATTTAGCATAAGAGGAGTTTTCTTATGAAAATATACATTTTCATATATATTATGTTTGCATACCGACTGACTTATTTATAATTTCACGTCCGTTTTTATAAAAGCCCATCAGGGATTTCCCCAGTCGGTATTTCAGTCTAAAACAGCTCTACTTATTACTATAGATTTTTATTTATTTTTATTATTTAATTAAAGTAGCTGCAACTTGAAATTCCTAATAAAATGAAACGTTTATAGTTTACTAATAAAACTGCTTTATTTTTCAGATTTTTTGTTTGCTGATTTCAAAGCTGAAACGCTTTTATGAGCTGAAGCGCGTTTAATGTGATTTTAGCTGGAAACACATTGTAGTTAAATCAAAATACTGTGTCGGCGATAAAGCATTGCTTGACGGGTTATTAATAATATATAATATATGTATATTTCTGTCATAGGTTATATATGTATTAATTAAGTCCATAAGAGATTTTGTTTCAGATTCGCTTTCTTCTAATAAGCAAGGAATTTGTTTGGTATTCATAATATAATATGTATTTTATTTTATAGGATCTAAAATAGAAATGAATCCCGATTGAATTTATAAAACACATATGTATCTCTAAGCTTAAGCTTTAGTATTGTCATACCATGCTCATCATTATCTCTCTTTACTCTTCTACTTTAGGCAATAGAACACCGTTTGCCTAGCATTTATTTTATCTCTTTACCTGTAGTTGTTTCGGTTATTTGATTTATTTAAATGACGTCGGTTGCGCTGTCGCCTCACAATCCACAATCATAATTAGTCATGAGCGATCCTAATTACGTGACGGGGTGCAGCGACAAGCCGCACGCCAAGCGCTAAACATCTTGGCATTTACAAATCCGGGCTAGCCGGCAATTAGTGAACACCACACTCTCCATTTCCATTTGGTCAAATATTAAATTTACTTCTTTTTTTTTTTTTTTTTAATTACACTGCTCATGTAGTCAACAGCTGTTGGGTATATTAGTTTTGATAGTTATTCAACTTAGAGCTTTAGTTTGTTAGCTTGAAAAGATCT